GGGGGGGGGGGGAAGGGGGGGGGGGGAGGAAAACAAGGGGGGGGGGGGGGGGGAAGGAGACATATGTAAAACTTTAGACAAATAAATAAATATTACCTTGCTCCCAATGAATCTCATCTCCCTTCATTTTCCCTCATTTTTACTCAGTTATAGTCACACAGGCCTACGTTCTTTCCCTCAAACCTACAAAGCTTGTTTTCCACCTTGAGAACTTTACACTTGTTATTCCTTCTACTTTAAGATGCCCCCATCCCCATCTTCACAGCACTTATTCATATCGTCATTCAAGTTTCAGTTCTCATTGTTGAAGAGTGTTGAACTGGGAAGAGGCCTTCCATCTTAACCAGCCACCAGGTGCTCTGCTGTATACCCCTAGTGATCTTATTTGGATTACTTATCCCTTTCTGCCATCATCTTGGGTTTTCTGCCTCTCCTTCATCTCTTCCACCTCTACTTTAGAATGTAAACTCCTGAAGGCCGAGTTTCTATCTTGCTCACCACAATATTCCCAGTAGTTTGAACATAACTGACACACATCAGGCTTTCAGTAAATATTTGTTGACTGAGTTGTCCTTGACACTCTGCTTGACCATGGGAACGACGGGCTGTGAATCATGGGCATTAAGGTGAGTGACCTGTCCAAGGTCAAAATAAGCAACTGGGGACTGCTTGATCAGTTTCCATTTATGTGCTATTTATCTTTTGATGAGACCTGCTTAATTGTACCCTAGTTTTCACTTCTCCCATATTCTGCTCAGAACAGAAAAAGAACTTTCTCATTTATTATAGGTATGCTCAAAGCTAACCAGGGCTGCTGGCATCACTGCAAATACTTTGTGTGAAGAAGAATGTAAAAGCGCTATGTTGCCACTATGATATGGCCTTGTGATAAACTGCCCATTTTAGGGAAGTGCTGTACCCACTAGGATGCCCTGTTACCCCAGGCCTCTCAATTTTTGTGTGCTTTTATTTTATTCCTTTGCAGAATGAGTTTTGGGATTAGATGTGAATAACACCAGGAAAATACAAAATGCCTAAAATTTTAACTTTCCCCCCTTCTTAGATGTGAACGATTAGAAGAACAACTAAATGACCTAACAGAGCTCCATCAGAATGAAATCTTGAACTTGAAGCAGGAATTGGCCAGCATGGAAGAGAAAATTGCATATCAGTCCTATGAACGGGCCCGGGACATCCAGGTTAGCATGAAGGATCCAGGTGTAAAAGCAAAAGATTAAAAAGCAAGTAGAATGATTGTTGCCAATGGCTAGTGGGTAGGGGGAATTGTTGTTAAATAGATATAGAGTTTTAGTTTTACAAGATGAAAAGAGTTATAAGATGGATGGTGGTGATGGTTGCACAACAATATGAATGTATTTAATACCACTGAACTATATACTTAAAAAGTTTAAATGATAAATTTTGTTATGTATATTTTAACACAATAAAAAAAGAAAAAGGAATGAAGTACTGATAATTTTACAACATAGAAGAATCTGAAAAACATTGTGTTCAGCCCTAACCGGTTTGGCTCAGTGTATAGAGCTTTGGCCTGTGGACTGAAAGGTCCCAGGTTCGATTCCGGTCAAGGTCATGTGCCTTTGTTGCAGGCACGTCCCCATTAGGGGGTGTGCAGTAGGCAGCTGATCAATGTTTCTCTCTCATCGATGTTTCTAACTCTCTATCCCTCTCCCTTTCTCTCTGTAAAAAAATCAATAAAATATATTTTTTTTAAAAACATTGTGTTCAGTGAAAGAAACTTGTCACAGAAGGCACATATTGTATTATTCCATTTATATGAAATGTCCAGAATAGGCCAACCTATGGAGACAAAGTACATAAGTGGTTGCCTGGGGCTGTGGAAAAGGGAACTGGCAAGTGATAGCTGAGGAGTAGAGGGTTTCTTTTTGGGATGATGAGAATGTTCTGGAATTTTTATATTAGTGCACAACATTGTGAATTTACTAAATGTTATTAGATTGTACACTTTAAAATGTTAAATTTTGTGTTAGGTGTATTTTACCATAATAAAAAGAAGTTTAGGGGAAAAGATGGGGAGGGTAGAGTATCAAAATAAACCCAATACCAGCTATAATATACCTGCTCTTCAGTTCTCAAAAATCTGTACAATTTGGAGGTGATATGTTTGCTTCGGTTTCTGGGAAATGTTTCTAAGTTCACAATAGTCTCAGCCTATGGAAAACCATATGTACTACATCTGTAGTTACTGCTTCAAGAGCTGTGCAGACAAGTCTCCTGGCCATCTTGCCGATCTTCTTCTGTAGCAAAGGGGGCTTTTGTCCTAGCTGCCACGTCAAAACCTTCTGTAGGTACATTGCTAGGCAGTTTGTGAGCATACCACAAGGCAATCATGTGTAAGGTTAGGCGTGACCCTCTAGTTTATTCTGTGGGAAAGTAGAATATTTATCTTTTGCTCATCCAGTTGGGAGGTAATATGAAGGCATCTTGAAATTAGTCTTGGAGAAGGCCCAGGAAACTAGTATTACAGTAGCCTAAAAGAAACAAGAGAATATCTATATTATTTGCCCAGCTACTGTCTTGTCCAGGTGCCTGGAATTCTGTTTATTTTTTAGTTTTTCCCCCAAGATCATAGTGGACCAGGAAGTATCCTTTGTCCATTCTCCATCTAGCTTCAGTCTGAAGTTGCCTGACCTTCACTTCAAATCCTAGGGATACCAGGACCCATTGAAACCAAGATCAGAAAAACCCAGGGTTCCACCACTGCTGAATTTTGGAGGATATCTGACCTAAGGAAATAGGTTCTATCCTGAGTGTTATGGTAAATTTCATAAAAACTCATGGGTGAAGTTCATAGCCTTAAGGGGAACAGATCACTTATAATGTTTGGTCTAGTATTTGAGCATAGTGTCCTCTCTACATAGGTCAGTAAATCTTAAAAAGGGAAAGTACTCTCTGCTCTGTACTTAAAAGACAGAGCAGAGAGCTCTTTCCACTGATGGCAGAGACTTACTTGATTTAAAAGAACACCTGGTAGGGTGTATCTCCATTGTTATAGTGGGAACATTGGAAATAACCTAAATCTCTCCAATACATATTTATACTATAAAATTACCTGCATCAGTTAAAAAGAATGAGGTGGATCTCTATGCATTGACGTAGAGAGAGCGCCAAGACTCACTGTTGAGTGAAAGAGGCAAGCGTGGACCAGTCCTATATTATGATAGAAAATAAAAAAATGATTCCATACATTTCCCTAGGCACATATTTGTATACACTTAAAATATAGGTGGAAGGATGAAAACAAACCAAGCTGCAGTATTACTTCAAGAGCAGGGGCTGGAATTGAGGAAAATATCAAGAGAAAGTATGTGTCCTATTTGAAATTTTTTATGGTGAACAAGTAGGTGTGTCTTGTGCAACTTAAATTAATAATTTTTAAATGAAAAAGAAAATTATAAAAAAAGAAACATTATATATTTGAGATCTTGTCCATAAAATGTTCAACCAAATCTAATTGTACCCACTGCTTCTTGTGAGCCATCCCACAGGAGTGCAATGGAGGACAGTTTAGGTGAATATTAGCCTAGACCAGTGGTCGGCAAACCGCGGCTCGCGAGCCACATGCGGCTCTTTGGCCCCTTTAGTGTGGCTCTTCCACAAAATACCATGTGCGGTCACGAACGTACAGTGCGATTGAAACTTCGTGGCCCATGCGCCGAAGTCGGTTTTCGGCCTGGGCGAGTGTATTTTGAAGAAGTGGCGTTAGAAGAAGTGGGGGTACGTTCGCTGAGGTCGACCCCTCAGATTGAGGACATTTTTAGCAAAGGCCAGCTTAGGAGTACCCTAATTAAGTTAATAACAATGTACCTACCTATATAGTTTAAAAAATTTGGCTCTCAAAAGAAATTTCAGTCGTTGTACTGTTGATATTTGGCTCTGATGACTAATGAGTTTGCCGACCACTGGTCTAGACTCCTTTTGTCACCTTGTATTTAATCCCCTTTACCCTCTTTGTCCTCCCCCTACCCCCCTTCTTCTCTGGTAACCACCATTTTGTTGTCTGTATCTATGGGTTTGTTTGTTTTGGTTTGCTTTTTGTTTGTTTGCTTTTTGTTTTATATCCCACATATGAACGAAATGATAAGGTTTCTTGTTTTTTTCTGTCTGACGTATTTTACTTAGCATAAGACTTTCAAAATCCATTCATCTTGTCATAAATGGCAATATTTCATCATTTGTTTATTAATCCTCACCCGAAGATATTTTTCCATTGAGTTTTAGAGGAAGAGAGGGGGAGAGTCAGAGAGTAAGAAACATTGTGAGAGAGACACATGGATTGGTTGCCTCCTGCACGCACCCTGACCAGGGCCTGGGGCTCAAGCCTGCAACCGAAGTACATGCCCTTGACCGGATTTGAACACCTGACCCTTCAGTCTGCAGGCCGACACTCTATCCTCAGCCAAACCGGCTAAGGCAATATTTCATCTTTTTATGGCTAAGTAGTAGTATTCCATTGTGTGTATATATATACTACATCTTCTTTATTCAACCTTCTATCAGATACTTGTGTTATTTGCATGCCTTGGCTATTGTAAGTAATGCTGCAGTGAACATAGGTGTCTGTATATCTTTACAAATAAATGTTTTCAGAATTTTCACGTAGATACCCAGATGAGGGATTGATGGGTCATATGGTAGCTCTAATCCTTAATTTTTTGAGGAACCTCCTTGCTGTATTCCATAGTGGCTGCACCAGTTTATATTCTACCAGCAGTATATGAGAGTTCTCTTTCCTCCACATCCTGTGCAATATTTATTTCTTATCTTATTGGTAATAGCCATTCCAACTACTTCATTGTAGTTTTGGTTTGCATTTTCCTTATAGCTAGTGATGTTGAGCATTTTTTCATGTATCTGTTGGTCATCTGTATGTCTTCCTTGGAAAATGTCTATTCAGGTCCTCTGCCCATTTTTTAATTGGATTGTTTGGTTTTTTTTCTTGTTGAGTTGTTCTTTGTATATTTTGGATTTTATCCCCTTTCGGTAGGTAACATTTGCAAATACCTTCTGGAATTTGGTTGGTTGCCTTTTTGTTTTGTTAATTGTTCCTTTTGCTGTGCAGAAGCTTTTGGTTTGATGTAGTCCTATTCATTTATTTTTGCTTTTACTTCCCTTGCCTTTGGTGTCACAAATACCCATCCTGAAGTTTGGTGACTATGTTTTCTTGTATCTATCTTATTGTTTCCGGTCTTATATTCAAGCCTTTAAACTACTTTTGAGTTCATTTTTGTGTGTGGTGTCAGATAGTCTAGTTTCATTCTTTTCAGTTTCTCCAACACTATTTATTAAAGACTTTCCTTTCTCCATTGTATGTTTTTGGCTCCTTTGAAAAGTAGTTGCCCTTATATGTGTGGGTTTATCTCTAAGCTCTCAGTTCTTTTCCATTTGTCCATTTCTCTGCCTACCTTATTGTTTTGATTACTATAGTCTTGTAGTATAATTTGAAGCCAGGGAGTGTGATACCTATAGCTTTGTTCTTTTTTTTCCCCCAGGATTGCTTTGGTTATTTGGGATCTTTTGTGGTTCCATACAAATTTGAGGGGTTTAAAAATTCTATTTCTAAGAGAAATGCTACTGGGATTTTGATAGGGGTTGGATTAAACCTATATATTGCAACACTGTGTTGTAGTTTCCAATGTACAGGTCCTTCACTTCTTTTGTTAAGTTTATTCCTAAGTATTTTATCCTTTTTGTTGCAATTGTAAATGAATTTTTTTCTTCATCTCTCTTTCTGATACTTTGTTAGTATATAGGAGTGCAGCAGATTTTTGTATGTTGATTTTGTATCCTTTAACTTTACTGTATTTATTGTTTCTAATAGTTTTTTCATGGAGTCTTTAGAATTTTCTATATAGAGAATCATGTCATCTGCAAATAATGACAGTTTTACTTCTTCATTCCAAATTTAGATGCCTTTTCTTTTTTCTCTTGCCTAATTGCTCTGGCCAAGACTTCCAGTACTTTATTGAATAGCAGTGGTGAGAATGGGCATCCTTGTCTTGTTCCTGATCTTAGAGGAAAAGTTTTTTACCATTTAGTATGATGTTAGCTGAGGGTTTGTTATATATGGCCTTTGTTGTGTTAAGGTACTTTTCTTCTAAACCAGTTATATTAAGTGTTTTATCATAAGTGGATGTTGTATCTTGTCAGATGCTTTTTCTACATCTATTGATATGATTATATGATTTTTATCTTTTATTTGTTAATGTCGTGTATTGACCAATTTGCATGCATTGAACCATCCTTGCATCCCTGGAATGAACCCCACTTGATGATGATGTTTTATCTTTTTAAATGTACCCTTGTATTCAATTTGCCAATATTTTGTTTAGGATTTTTGCATCTATGTTCATCAAAGATATTGGCCTATAATTTTCTTTTTTGTGTTGTTCTTACCAGGTTTTGGTATCAGGATAATGTTAGCCTTGTAAAATTAGTCAGGAAGTATTACTTCCTTTCAGTTTTTTTTGAAGAGCATGAGAATGATAGGTATTAAACCTTCTTTGAATGTTTGGTGGAATTCACTTGTGAAGCCATCTGGTCTTGGACTTTTGTTTTTTGAGAGTTTTTTTAAGACAGTTTCAATTTCCTTACTAGTGATCGGACTATTTAGGTTTTCCAATTTTTCATTTCTCAGTTTAGGAAGGTTACATATTTCTAAGAATTTGTCTATTTCTTCTAGGTTATCAAATTTGGTGGCATAAAGCCTTTCATGGTATTCTTGTATAATCCTTCGTATTTCTCTGATGTTCGTTGTAACTTCTCTTTCATTTTTTATTTTATTTGAGTCTTTTCTCTTTTTTCCTTAGCAAGTCTAGCCAGAGATTTGTCAATTTTATTTCTTTTCAAAGAACCAGCTCTTTGCTTCATTATTTTTTTCTATTATCCTTTTGTTCTCTATTTCATTTATTTCCACTCTAATTTTTATTACTTTCTTCTACTGACTATGGAATTCCTTTGTTCTTTTTATAGTTCTTTAAGGTATAATGTTAGGTGGTTTATTTGAGAGTTTTCTTATTTCTTGAGATAGGCATGTAATGCTGTAAACCTTTTTGTACCATTTTTGTTGCATCCCCAAAATTTTGGTATGTCGTATTTTTATTTTTATTTGTCTCTCTGTATCTTTTGATCTTTTATTTTATTTCTTTCTTCTTTGACCCAATAGTTGTTCAGCAGCATGTTGTTTTATCTTCACATATTCATGTTTTTGTCAGCTTTCTTCTTGTAGTTTTATACCATTTTCATCAGATAATATGCTTTGGTATGATTTCTGTCTTCTCAAATTTATTGAGACTGGTTTTGTGCTACAACATGGTCTATCCTTGAGAATGTTTCGTGTGCACTTGAAAAGAATGTATATTCTTGTTATTTTGGGGATGAAAAGTTCAATAAATATCAAATATGTTATTTGCTCTAATGTGTCCTTTTTTTTAAAATCCTCCCCCACAGGATATTTTTGCCATTGATTTCTAGAGAGAGTGGTAGGGAGGAAGAAGGGGGAGAGAGAAAGAAAAAAAATCCATGTGAGAGAGACACATCATTTGGTTGCCTCCACACCTGTCCCTGCAGGTGCTGGGAACCTGCAACTGAGGCACATGTCCTTGCCCAGGAATTGAACCTGTGACCCCTTGGTTCGGTCCTTGGGCCAATGCTCTAACTACTGAGCAACCGGCCAGAGCTGTAATGTCATTTAAGATCAATATTTCCTTGTTTAACTTTCTATTTGGGAAGTTGTCATTATTTGTTTGAATAGGCTCTTTGTTCCCTTTTTCCTCTCTTTTCCTACTTTAAGGGGATAAACAAAGGAGTCTTCCCATTTCACCATGATGCTGTGGTCACTCTCTAGTATATTTAAAATCATTGGCATAGCTCAAGATGCATCTGGCTTGCCTCAGGGGCAAATCAGCTTTTCAGATTACTTGTAAGCAAAAGGTTTAACTATTCCCTGTTCTGGCCCACAGGAGGCCCTGGAGGCGTGCCAGACCCGCATCTCCAAGATGGAGCTACAGCAGCAGCAGCAGCAGGTGGTGCAGCTGGAAGGGCTGGAGAATGCCACTGCCCGGAACCTTCTGGGCAAACTCATCAACATTCTTCTGGCTGTCATGGCAGTTCTTTTGGTCTTTGTCTCCACCGTAGCCAACTGCGTGGTTCCTCTTATGAAGACTCGCAACAGGACGTTCAGCACTTTATTTCTTGTGGTTTTCATTGCCTTTCTCTGGAAGCACTGGGATGCCCTCTTCAGCTATGTGGAACGGTTCTTTTCATCCCCCAGATGATGCTGGCAAAAGAAGGCAGTGCTCCCCTACCCTCTGGCGAGTGCATGCAGCAAAGAATTAGACAGCAACTTACCTACTCTGAAGTTTTCTACAACAACAAAAGAGTTGAGTGAATCTGTTTACATTTAGAATAATGTTTTTTTCTTCAAGAGACGCAATTGCAATAGTATTTTTTAGATTTTATCCAAGAAGTTTTTTGGGCAAAATTCTTGGATCATTTTTATGTAGCATGATTTTCCTTGGGATGCAAATCTTAAACAGTCCTTTAACATGAACCAACAATCTGGAGCACACTGAAGGGCATCTAAAATGTGGCTTGAAAAACTGCACTAAAACCCACTAAAAAGATGCAAAAACCTGATTAGGGAAACCAGTTAAACCTAACACCCTGCCTTGTCTGGGCTCACCACCTCTCCCCTCCCAGACTAACTTTACTGTGAAATCCTACCACATTCCATGTCTGAATTTTTGGATTCAGGGCGGATTTTCCTTGTCCGTGGAAGAACACATGGATCTCCCTGGCTTTCTCACCCAAGTTGGCCACTCGTGCTAATGCTGGAAGTATGATTGCTTTTGAACCTGGTCCCTTAACCTTTGCTAGGATACAAGTGTGAGAGCATCATGGCCCACAGGATCACTGCATAGTCCTACTACAGTGTTTTGAAGTAGCCCTCCAAATACTTAATTTTAAGCAAAATCCCATGGCCGCACTTTTAAGGTTTTTTTAAAAACGTGTAGAGTCATCAATTAAAAAAAAAATCCGAACAGCATACTTGAAGAATGTAATACTCAAACTCTCAGTGCTTCCTTATGGTTTCTAATAGGATTTCTTATTGTTATTATTATTATTGGGTGGTTTGTGTTTTTTTGTTTTGCTTTTTGAAAGGGTTGGGAGGGTCTTTTACTTTTCCTTTGAAATAAAGAAGTGATGTTTTTAAATGAAGAAATGTGTGGATATTTAAGTGTGCTGCTCCCTCTTGTCTTGAAACAGTTTGAGTAAAGGAAGACTTGCTATAAATGCTGCCCTCTGATGCCCTTGTTTTATGATGCAGCTTAAACTCCTTTGTCTGGCTGCTGCTGCTGCTTTTTGGTGTTTGCTGCCCCACCACCACCACCACTTCATGGGCTTGGTTTGGTTGGAGAGGAAAGGGGTGTGCAGGGAGAAGCTGTTTCCACAAACCAGCATGATAGGATAGAGATTTTTTTGCCCCAAGAAAATGTTCACTCAGTGACTTTGGGCTGAGCTGTCTTTAGGAAAAAATGAGACTATGAGAGTCATAAATAATTCCTTGTGTTTCCTTAATTTATTTTTTAACACCTCCTAATTACTGAAACCAAAGTGATTATGAATCTTGTGTCTGCATTTTGCCCCCCGCATCCTTAATTTCAAAGCTTTATTTTGTCTGCCTGAGAGAATTGACTGAAGGTGATTCTCCCTAAAGAGCAGAGAAGGAGATATCAGGTTAGAAGGACCCAAATTTGGGGTGTAAAGTGTTGTCGGCTTCCTTTTCATATAGACTGACATTAACATAATTATGCTCAGTGGACTTTTATAGACAGTTTAGAAAAATGGACAGAGACTTCTTCCCCTTCCTATAACCAGTTCCATCATCTTGGTGGAACTTGGGCTTTTAGAGTTTATCTAGAAACTTTGGCTAATCTTTTCATATTTGCAGCATTAAGTCACAAAATGTTGTTCCTCTTAGCCTCAGCTCTGTGCAACCAAGTAATGAGCAAGGGACACATGATGTGCCCTAAACCATGCTTTGCCTGTTTCCCCCTATCCCGGGAAATTCCTTTGAAACTAGATTAGCATTGCCTTGTCTGTCTGACAGCATGGTTTACATGACAGCTCCAGCCTCTGGTGGCTTTGGCAGGCTGGCCTTCTCAGAGTCAGCATGTTGTTACCATAATCATTTTGATATTTTAACTCAGGTACCCCAGTCTTCATTCTATCCCCAGATGATTGTAGCATACCTGTTAGCTCTGTTGACCTCTCAAAATTAGTGCCCAGAGCAGGGACCAGGGTGGATTTTTTTTTTTTTAATCTCAAGGGAGATTTTTCTTTTAAAAAATAATTGGAACCAATTCATGTTCAGGCCAAAAACAAATTGTTCCCAAGCCTATGTATTTAAAATGTTAACTTTGTCTAAAAATATTGCAGTGATTTTAGACCGGAGTGCCAAAGGATACCATGACCTTGTTGAACTAGCACAGTTTGTTCTTTCTGTTTTAGCTTACGGCTCAGAATAGAGAGCCACAGTTCTCCAGTTTTTCTAAGATGGAACCTTTGCGTCCCCTAAACTGTGTAGAGGCTACTAAGTTTTGTGGGCACTGGAAGTCACTGTGATAGATGAATTTCAATTATTCCTTATGCCTTGGGATGGTTTCTATCAAAGGAATGTTGTTGCCTCTGGAAAGCCCCCTGATTCCCAGCCAAACATGCCTGTGCTAACTTTCCATTCTCCTCTCTCAAACTGTCTTAGGAAGGACCTTCAGGCTGGGTCAGGCACAGTAATAGCCTTTTAGCTCTCTTGTTTCTTGATTGTTCAGCAGACCCAACAGTTGTCTGCATTTAATGCTATTTGTAACTATGAATATGGTTTGATGCCTTTCCCCATTTTCTGCTGCCCATACCTATTACCTTTGAGTTTCTTTGCATTGTGACTATTCTTGGATTCTCCTGTCTGTTCAAAGCTCTTCTATAACCTTGCTCTAATGATTTAACGATTGTTCTGTAGGTGGAAAATTCCCATCATTTTAATGCTTCTTCTCTTTTAAAGACTACATGCATTCCCTTTGAAATGAAGCATTCCTGGATTACTTGTTAGTGGTGGTGCCTGAGGCTAGCTATGGTAGCCTGGGTGACACTGTTCAGGTTATAGAATGACTAATATTTTACATTTTTTAATGATAATTGAAGGACATGTCTGTCTGCTCCAATTTCAATTTCTTGGTATATACTCAGTACATCCTAGCAAGGAAGGCTTTCTATTCCAGTGGCTCCTTAAGCAAAAGTAGGTTAAATTTTACACTTCACATTGACTGGAACCCTTTCTCTCCCTTGTACCACCCAATTGACGTAAAAATCTGATACCAAGGAAAATACTGAGATTAAACCTTCCTTGCTAGTCATGTCCTAATAATGAGCATATTTTCATGTGTCTTTCACTACATTTGGTTTTGTTTCTAATTTCATATTCCTTTGAGGTACAGTCAGATGAAATGCTGAATTCCGAGTGAGTTCCAGTACAGAGCTGCCTTTCAGCTTTGGAAAATATGCATCCAAAACAAAACCAAATATTCTAGTCAACAAATTCACAAAGGCAAAATTATGGTTCCCACCCCTAAATGAGACTGGGGATTTTGAATGTGGCTCTAAGAGTTAACATTTCTATCTGTGTGTTATGTATGCTAAGTGATATCCCCAGTAGGACTGACTACTAGACTGTAAGTGTGTTTTATCAAAGTGTGTAAGAATAAAAACTCGCACGAATTGAAAAGTACAGAAATGACACTTGTGAACGTGTGAACGTTAACACTGTAGTTGATAGATCTTAAGCTGCTAATTGTTGAGAGAGAATTACATTTATGTTTTGTCTGGTTGCTGCAGATTCTCAGCAGCACTTTTACTGTATATACAAATTGAAATAAAGACCTCAGCTATTAACGAGGTGGTTGGACTTGGGTTTGTTTTGCTCTTTATTTTTGCATATTCCGTTTCCAGTGACAAGTTTGTCAGTCTGAAAACTTTCCACTGGTTTGTGCATTAGAAACTGTGTGTATGTGTTGTGTGAGTGCGTGCATGTGCGAGTATATGTTTAGCCAGTATCTTGAAACTGTAACTGATAGCTAAGTGGCTATCACTGTCTCCCTGGATTTTATACACATCATTTCAGATGTGGCCTTTTGCCACAATTCCTTTAGACTGGTAAGACTGCCTTTTAAACCTTTGGAGGGAGTTCTTCAGAGGCAGTACTCCCCAATTCAGCATCTGAAGATCCCACAGTGGGGATGGTAATCCCTGTCCATTTGTTAATAAACAAATGTTTTGATGGGTGTATAAACATTCTTTGTAAACATTTAACATGCAAGTTCTATGTGCATGTAAGGGGTTTATCTAGCCTAATTCCATGGATGGTTTTGTTGTAGAGGTAGTAATTTCTTTATTTTTTATTAATCCTCACCCGAGGGTATTTTTCCATTGATTTTTAGAGAGAGTGGAAGGGAGAGACAGACAGAAACAACGATGTGAGAGAGACGCATCGATTGGTTGCCTCCCACATGCACCCTGACCAGGGCCAGAGATCAAGCCTGCAACTGATATACACGCCCTTGACTGGAATCAAACTGGGACTCTTCAGTCACCAGGCCGATGCTCTATCCACTGAGTCAAACTGGCTAGGGCTGAGGTAGTAATTTCTATTAGTTTTTGATCTATGGAAGGCCTCTGGAAATCCAGAAGCTTAATCTTGCCTTTGACAGGGTACTAAGCAGGGACCTGATGTCTTACTTCTTCACAGTCCCAATCTGCATTTCAAGATATTTGGGGCCATACTTCTGGTTTAGTAGCTCTGTTCTTCCTACCACATCTATGAACTAGAAACATCACACCCATCTTGATCCTTCCTAGTAGATGTTGTGAAAATAAGAGAGGTCTCTTGAGAAAGTTTTTTAAATTATTGTGAGAATGCCCTTCCTTAAGCTTCTAGAAACAGAATGCAGGTTGTACGTTGCCCAATCCCAAGGGGCTCGGTAAGTAAGTTACACTATGAAGGATACAGCTTAGTGTTGTATAGTGCATAATGGGCACAAAGAGCAGCTCTGATTATAGGTGATATGTAATTTCAAAGCCTGCTTTATTTTCATTCATTAAAAACTGGAGAATGGAAGGCTGGTAGCATAAATCTGAGAAGTTGCCATGTAGCAAACAGATTGGGGAGGTAAGGGACAGTATGGCCAACTAGAAAATGTATGACTCACCTAAAGGATTCAAATGTGTTACTTTTAAACTCTATGGACTAAGTCTAGGTAGAGTAGCTACATTTGTTGGTACTTGACATGTAGTTCTCAATTCCCCCACAATCTCCCACAAGCAATGTTGTCCTGGTTGTGGAGCTAAAGACACAAGCGTGAATTAAATGGCTTGCTCAAAGTTACACTGGCAGGATATGTAACAAAAGATGGGTGTCCACAGTGTGTCAGTATAAGAATTAATACAAACCAAGAAGAAAAGTCAACTCGATAGAAAATAGACAAAGGTTATGAAAAATAGTTCACAAAAAAGAAACGAATTACCAATAAGCATTCAAAAGAAAATGTTCAGCCTTGTGTGTAAATCAGTGCATTAAATGGGGGGGGGGGGGGGTTGTGGAATCGTCTCCTATTTACATTTAAAATATTTTTGTGTAAATAAATATATATGTAAATATATAGAAACATAACTGCATAGAAAACTGTCCCCAATAGTTACTTCTGGGAAAAGGAGTGGGAGTAATCGTGGGACTTTGATGCTTGACTCCTGTAATATATGAATCTCTTAACATGAATGTATTTGTGTATTTTTAAATTAAAAATATAAAAACTTAGCCAAGCTGGTTTGGCTCAGTGGATAGAGCATCCGCCTGAGGACTGAAGGGTCCCAGGTTTGATTTCTGGTCAAGGGCATGCGGGTTGCAGGCTGGATCCCCAGTGGGTGGCGTGCAGGAGGCAACCGATCAATGCTTCTCATCATTGATATTTCTATCATTCCCTCTCCCGTCCTCTCTGAAATTAATAAAAATCAAAATAATAACTTTAAAAAAAGATTGCAGAGGCATCGCCTCTTAGGTGCACACACACACACACACACACACATATATGTAAAAACTTAAAATAATAAGTCCATTGAGGAGAGGTAAAAAATTTTAAAAAAAGGTTGATAGTGTTCCTAATGCCAGGCTA